ATAAATGGAAAAAGAAAAAAGCAAGAATTGGTTAGTCAGTAGCAGCACTGTTAACTCCAGCCGGTCATGCAGCAAAGCCATTCAGCTGCTACTGCAGTTGTGTGGTAACTCAGAATAAAGTGCAGGTCTTTGCTGTCATCACTTCCCAACTGTACATTTCATCATTTTTCAAGCAATGCTCAGGTATGGGAACGTAATTTCAAAAGGGAAGTCTGGGGGGATGTTGGTGGGTTCCACAGCAAGGGAAAGGAACTCTGGCACAGACTTCAAACTATGAAAAATCATTACTGTCCCTCATTCACTATTCACCAGTTTGTGCCTTGTGTCTGCTTACTTCTGTTTACTGGCCCTCATTCACTATCCACCAGTTTGTTCCTCCTTCTTGTTTTCACGGGGTCTCTTTTCCCACTTTTTCTCCCCCCAACCATCTCTGCACTCATGTTATGAATCAGGCCCTCCAGTACCATGCAAGGGCACCACTGACAGAAGTTCATTTGTTCAGTTTAGTAAGTTCCAAGTATATGCTCAGCCTTGGGCCTAATGGTGCGGATCTCAATGCTAAGAGCACTACTCTCCTCTGGTTCTGGAAGCCTGGAAAGAATTGCTTTTGAAGAAACTTAAGTCTCAACCTGACTCGGATTCCAAGGAAATGAACCCGCTCTGAAACCTATTCAAGTGTCTTAGGCAGCTGCTTATTCTTATCTCCCGTGTTTAATCCTTTGAGAAAGGATCAGAGAAGCATAACAGGATTCCACCTAAAAGCAAAAGTAATATAATGGCCTGGTACTGGTCTCCCATTTTCATTCCCACCTTCACCCTACTTCCAGATGAACTGCGCTGGAAAGAAGCTCCCTCAGAAAGCCTCCCGCGATGCTCCAGGATTTACTTTTATTAAACGCAGTCTCTTCACTGCCATGCAACGCACCCCGTGACAGGGCTACTAGAACTTATTTTCTCACTGTTAAGTCTTCCACCAAATGTAGCCCGATCACACTTAGTGAAAACGTATGACGTATCTTCTCACACCCCAATCTTTTCCAGCTTTCCCTCTGCGTGGATGTGGCCCCACTCCGTGGTGCGGACACGTCGGGTTCAAGGTCTTTGACCATTTCCCCAACCATAAGTCAACTTTGACTTCCTTGGACTCCCGCAGCGCTCAGCCTAGGCCTCCCGCGCTCTTCCTAACCTGTGTAACTACTGATGGTCACGAAAACGCCCCCGTCCTTTGGCCAGATTCCTTGCAGCAAAGACTGCCCTGTGCACTCCAGCCCTGCCCGCACGTAGCCGACCTAATAAGTAACCCGTTGCCTGGCGAAGGCTGACGCTAGGAGAGCCCTGATGATCAGGAGACGCCGACAACCCGAAATGCCCGGATCCTAAGAAGTAGGGTTCACGAACTCTGGCAGAGACTGCAGGCGACACAAGATGGGAAGGGGGTTCCCATCATCCAGGGAGCATGCCGTGGCGGACGGAGCGGGAGCCAAGACTGCAGGGGACCTAAATCCCATAGTAGGGGCCGCGGCCCGTCGCTCGTGGGACCCGGGCCGAGCCGCGCCTCCATGTCCCTGTCAAGGACACTACAAATGGGACTCGTCTCAGCGGCTGAAACCTACCTCACCAGGAAAACGTGATCGCTGTGAGGGACGCGCGGCCCAGAGGAGGGAACAAGCCCTCGGGGGCCGCCGATCCTGACCGGGACGCAAACACCAGGAAGACCGAGGGCTCCGCGCGCGCAGGGGCGGCCACCCTCGCCGGGCGGGGCTCGGGGGATCAGGCGCAGCCGGCCGCCGGAAAGCCACGCACGCAGGCACCAGCCGGACGCGCAGCGCCTCCCGGAGCGGGGACGCGAGGCGGCGATAGCCGCTGGCCGAGCCGCACGCAGGCCCCTCTAGGCCGCGGCGGGAAACGGGACACTCGGTAGCATTAACTCTTTCCGGCCACCAGGGCAGCACCCGGAGGAAGGCCGCTGTCCCTCCGCGAGGCCTCGGCCCGCGGAGCGGCTGCTCGAAGCCCCTCCCCGGAAGGGCGTCAGCCCGCTTCCGTCCGAAGCCCGGTGTTGGATGGGGCCCGGGTAGCGACGCGGGCCTGAGGGACGGTGCTGAGGACGGTCCTGCGCGGGGCGGAGGGCGGCGGCCTGCAGGTGAGCGGGTGGCAGGGGGAGCGGCGTCGGCCCTGGAGGTCCCAAGGGACCTCAGCCGCCATTGTCCGCGGACCGCGGTGTTTCCGGGCCGGTCGGCGCAGCCTGACGGCGGAACCATTTCTGGAAGCCCCGCCGTCAGGCTCCGGAGGCCATCCTGTTGTCCGCCTTTGCGCAGACGGCGTCGGGGCCTCGCTGGCCGGTGTTGCCGCGCGCCGGGGACCCAGGCGGTGCAGCCTCGGAGACGTCGGCCTTTGCTGGTACCCAAGCACGGCAAGCGTCCCGGTGCCCGCTGAGCTTGCTGGGCAGCCGGCGGCCGGCCATTTGGGAATACCGTGGCATCCTGGTCGACTTTGGGTGCCGTTCCTGCCGGCTCACGGCCGGGAAAGCGAGGTCCCGGGACTCTCCTCAGTCTCGCCTCGAGGTCTAAATGAGCGTCGAAGAAAGGGAAGGTGGGCCGAAGGGTCACCCTCAACATCACCAACTCTCCTCCTCTCCTCCTTTGCGACTTGGCCTGTGGATAAACGTTTTGTAAGCAAAGATCAGCTGTGATTTTTCTGGGTCAAGTAAAGAGATTTAAAAACACAGGAATGGATCTTGTGCACAGTGCCCTTTATGCTTCTTGCAGGGAAGTGTCAAACAAGAGTGTTGAGCATCTAGTTACTTAATCCGGGGATGCTGTCTGAGAAGAATAGGACCGCTTTTTCCCTAATTACTTTGCTCCTTCTCTGGTCTCACTTCTGTGTCCCCCCTCTCCTGCCAGTATTCGTACAGTGGAAAGGAGACTCTGGAACGTTCCACGCACTGAGGGCTTCCGTCTTCACAAGAGGATGAAGGGTCAGGGAAGTTGGACCCCCTTACTAGAGACAGAAGACTGGGATGACACGTTAAAATTTAAGAGGAACTCAGAATATTCTCCTGATGTCCCTTGGTATGGGGAAGTTGGCATAGGAAGCACAGCAATGAAGTCTTTGGATAATCCCCAGGCTCCTTGCCTCCAGAGGGTGTAAATGTTCTCACTGTCTAACCTTTCTTGACTCATTATTTTTGCAAAGGCCAAGTCCTCAGTGGGCATTTTTCTATCAATGAGCTGTGCCTTATTTCAAGTGGATAATAGAAGAAGAAAGGGTCTGGCAGTGGATTCTTTAAAAGGAGAGCAGGGGCACCTCGGTGGCTCAGTCGGTTATGTGGCTGCCTCGGGCCAGGTCATGATCTCTGACTTCTGAGATTGAGCCCGTGTCAGGCTCCCTGCTCATTGGGGAATTGGCTTCTCCCTCTGACCGTCCCTTCTCTCATGTGCTCTTTTTCTCTCTCTCCCCCCCCTCAGATAAATAGATAAAATCTTTAAAAAAATAAGGTCAAATTAAAAAACATAATAAAAGGAAAGCAAGGCAGGAATTTTCTGTGCATTTTTCACCCATTATGAGTAGTGGGTAGTAAAGTTCATGTGACTTTCTTACTGATGTGCACTTTTTTCTGCTGTCAGTGTTTTAGTAAGAAGATCCTTTTATTGATTTTATTCTAGGCCATGCATGGTCTCAGTTGCCAAAAAAGGTGGTAATGGGTGAAAAGTAGAAGACAGGAAACCACTAAGGGAAGGTTGTAAGTCAAGGAGAAAACCTGTCAAGACAGTACGTGTATATGTAATCTATGCAACCCTGCTAGTCTGTGCTTTGCTGCATGCAGATGGGTGGGAGCAACTGTGTCTGAGAGGTAGCAGTTGCCACAACTTTTTTTCCCCCCAGGAAGTGAATACCTTGTGGGAAATTGATGGCCCAATATCTCCTTTCGTCTTTCAGTCATTTCTCTTAGTGTTTCATACTTCCTACCATCCGTACTCAGCTTTTTCCTCTTTCTACCACCAACCCCCTAATCAAAAGTAAGTTATCTGTTAGTAGATGAAGATTATTTATTTCTAGGTTGCAAACCAAGAGTTTGGAAAAGAGGCCGTGCTCTTCAGACAAACTGTAGATGTCACAGGCTTCAAGAGGAAGGCATCAGAGTCACCGCCAGTGGACATGTCCCATGATGAATTTTGGACTATACACCAGGGGCTGCAGGAACACCTGAGCTGGAATTCTCGTAAGGAAACTGAGCCTGTGTGTGAGACAGGTAGGGCAGGACATGATAAGTACTATTTCCTAGGAACTGATAGGAATTTGTGCGATTTGTATTTTCTATATGTTGAGCTCTGTGGATCTATAAACAGACACATTAGCAATTATGATGGTCCCCAGGTGTCAGTAGAGTAGACCAGTTCTGGGTGAAGTTGGACATTGGCCTATGATATAGTAGTATCTATACCACTGAGCTCTGGTAGTAACACCATGAACTCTTCTTTAGAAAACTGGAGGTAATAGGAGCCATCTCATTTTTATAAAATAAGAAATTGAGATCAGAAATGGGTTATCAGTGGCAGAATATGAACACAATTATGTATCAAGAAAAATAATGATGCAAAAGTCGTATCTTATTATACACTGGATTTCCTGAGTACTTCATTTTTAAATATGTATGAGTTTTGCCTAATTGAGAACAATTTATTTCATCAGAGGAAACTAAAAACGGTTTTTCTTTCATTATGTCACTCCTGAAAATCGTGGAACCTATTCTAGGTGTCAGTTGATAATTTGGCTCCTATTTGTGATGAGAAGGCTACTTTAAGACACCATACACACTTGCAAATGTGTTCTGTTTCTGTTGAAAGAATTGGTAGTGTCTGTATTTTAGAAATAGGGTCAGAATGTTCAAAGAAGTGAGAGCAATTTCCTCTGGCTCTTTTCTACCCACAGCTATGCCTATTCACCAGATCCTAGTCTTTTCTGAGAAGACAAATACCAAAGACTGGACAATGGCACCTGAGCTCGTCTTGCCTGAGTCCCAGGTGAGGTGTGCAATCCAGCTATAGAGGGCTGTCTTTTCCTGCTGCCCAGGACCCACACTGCCCAGCTCACAGGCATCTTAGCCCCAGTGTTTTCCCTGGGGAATCCATTGCTTTTTTTCCTTTTTGCCTTCTCACTTAAAAAAAAAAAAAAGTGGGTCACCTACTTGGCTCAGTTGGTTGGGCAATTGCGTTAGGCTCAGGTAATGATCCCACGTGCTTCTCCCTCTCCATCCCCCCACCCCTCTGCTCATGCTCTCTTTTGCTGTCTCTCTCTCTGTCCAATAAGTAAATATTTTTAAAAATCCTTAAAAAAAAAAAGTGTTATTAATTCCTGGATTGCCCAGGATCTACCATGGGCCAGATGGTAGGGCTGGTTCTGTAGTGCAAGTACTGAGCTGAAGCCCATTGTCTTCTTTAGAGCTTGTTGACATTTGAAGAAGTGGCCATGTATTTTTCCCAGGAAGAATGGGAGTTACTGGATCCCACTCAGAAGGCCCTCTACAATGATGTAATGCGGGAAAACTATGAGACTGTCATCTCTCTAGGTAAAGAATCTCCCTCGCATTGGGTAGAAGTTGAGTAATCTGTCATATTCTCTGCTTACTGGGAATGTATTCCTCTGAGAGGCTGTGTTCCAATAACAGGTTGTTTCTCACCTAGATGGTGTGTGGACAGAAAAAGGTGTATCCAGATCACCTGGGGAGCTTTGTCCAGGTGCACATGGTCATTTCTTACCCTAAACTTCTTGATCCCTTCCTCCCCTCCAAATCTGCTCTTTTTTTACCTTTCACATCCCCATACAAGGTACCACCATTTATCCAATCTGTCACACCAGAAAAATACAGTCGTCCTTAGGCATAATCTTGCAATCACAACCCACTTCTAATGCATCACTGTCCATTTGGCTCCACCTTCATAGTGTAGGCAGAGTGCAACCATGTCTCATCCTTTTATTATTTTAATGTCCTGATCAAATCATGAAATTTCTGTGCTGTAAATCTTAGGATGTCTTCTCATACATTCAGAATAAAATCCATATTCCTTATTGAGGTACCCAGGAGCCTATAAGATCTGGCTGCTGCTCACCTTCCTGCCCTTGTCTTTTTCCACTGGTGTCTTTGTTCGGTCTTCTTTATCCACACTGATTTTGCTGTTGCTTTAACTCACCAAGCTAATTTCTACCTTTCCATTTCTTCAGCTGGCACATTGACTCTGAGTTCTATATTTTTAAACACCCCTGATATTTGCCCAACTCAAAACGTTTTATATAATATAAGAAAAAATAAGATTTCCTTTTACTGACTACATGAAAACTGAAGACAGTCAACTGGGGAATGATTTTGGGGGTTATTAGATACTCGATTCTTATTTACTGTGAGAAGGTCACTACTAGATATCACTTAACATTTGTAAACATGTCCCATATGTACCAAAAGGAATAGGATCTTCTGTATTTTAGAAATGAGGTAAGGATGCTCATAGACTGAAGTGAGAGAAATTTTTGCTGGCTCTTTTCTACCCACAGCTATGCCTGTTCACCAGATCCTAGCCTTTTCTGAGAAGACAAACACCAAAGACTGGACAGTGGCACCTGAGTTCATCTTGCCTGAGTCCCAGGTGAGCTGTGCAATCCAGATATTGAGGGCTGCCTTTCCCTGCTGCCCAGGACCCGACTGCCCAGCTCACAGGCATATTAGCCCTAGTGTTCTCGCTGGGGAACTGGGCACTTCCTAGGCTGTTAATGATCCCTTGCTTCTTTCCATTTTGCATTTAAAAAAAAATGTGCTATTAATTCCTTGAATGCCTAGGGTCTACCATGGGCCAGATGGTAGGGCTGCTTCTGTAGTGCAAGTACTGAGCTGAAGCCCATTGTTTTCTTTAGAGCTTGTTGACATTTGAAGAAGTGGCCATGTATTTTTCCCAGGAAGAATGGGAGTTACTGGATCCCACTCAGGAGGCCCTCTACAATGATGTAATGCGGGAAAACTATGAGACTGTCATCTCTCTAGGTAAAGAATCTCCCTCTCCCATTGGGTAGAAGTTGAGTAATCTGTCATGTTCTCTGCTTACTGGGAATGTAGTCCTCTGAGAGGTTGTGTTCCAATAACGGGTTGCTTCTCAACTAGATGGTGTGTGGACAGGGGAAAGGTGTATCCAGATCACCTGGGGAGCTTTGTCCAGGTGCACACTCCATATGCTATGTAGATTTCTTGATTTATTTTTTTCTCCTTCCCCAACTCTGTTCTCATAGACCCCTTTTCTCAGTAAAGAGCATTCACCCAGTAGCTAAGAGGAAGGAACGTACAGTCATCCCTTACTGAGATCTTGCTGTCCTACCCCATTGTAATGCATCACTGTCCTTTTGGTTCCACCTTCACAGTGTAGCCTGAGTGCAGCCATGTCTCATCTCCTTGTGCTGTTAGCGTCCTGGCTTAAGCCAGCAGCATGTCTAAGCAGAATGAGCTGGGTACTTTCTGACTGGTGCCCTGCCACACTCTGTTTTCCACACAGCAGCCAGACGCTTTTAAAAACTGGTCAAATCATGACATTTCCCATTTCAAATCTTATGATGACTTCTCATCACATTCAGAGTAAAATCCACACCTTACTGAAGTGCTTAGGGTCCTCCAGGGTCTGACCCTACTCACCACCCTGCCCTCATCTGCTGCCACTTGTGCCCCTGCTCAGTCCTCTTGAGCCTCACTGATGTGTCTGTTTCTTGAACTTGCCATGGTCATTTCTACTTTGCCCTTTCCTCTACCTGGCACAGTTTTCTGCCACATGGCAAAACTCACTTTTACATTCCTGCTGCAATATCAGTTTTTCAAAGAGGCCTTCTGTACTACCTCATCTAAAATAGCTTCAGAGAAGCAGAGTCTTAAATGCTGAGTTAACCTGCCTTAGTTTTCTTCAAAATATTTACTACGTGCTGACCATTTTGTTTATTTATTGCGGTTTGGTTGTCTCGTCCCACCGGAAGGTGAGATCCCATGAGATCAGGGTGCTTTGACTTAATCACCACTATATCATTAGCCCAAAGAGAGTTCCTGGCACATTATAGCCAGTCGGTACATCCTGATTGAATGACTGAGTGATGACTACTTCCCCAACTTGGCGATATATATTTAGAAAATTTTCATTAAGTAATTCTAGTCTGTTTCTTCCACCTGGACAAAACCAGTGACTTAAGGAGTGTAAGAAATCTTTTCTAGTCCAGTATGTGTTGCTCAAGAGCTAAGTAAGAAGTCACTGTTATCATGATAGGAATCACTGGTACATAGGACATGCAGCCCACTGACCTTCACCTTGCTCTGCTAGACTTGGGCTAATCCTAAGGAATTAATAGGACTAACCTGTATTCCCTGCAGACTCGGGTTTGGTTCCACCTTGTTGAAATATAGGGTAATCTTGGTGGCAGAAGAGGGGCAGTGTAGATGGATTCCCATGCCCTTTATCCTCTACATGGGTCCAGCTTAGGTTTATTTCTCTGTCTCCACGTTGTGTATCCACCCACAAATGCAGTATAGTATAAACCTGAAACCAGATAGGAGAGTCTACCCATTTGACCATTTGGGTGTCATACTGTAAACGGTCCTTTGCTCTTCCTGAAATAGTGTGGAGTCGGTGGACAGTTGTTGAGTTGCCAATCCTTGACTCCTTTTTTTCCATTTCACAGCATTATTTGTGCTCCCCAAACCTAAAGTGATCTCCTATCTAGAGCAAGGGGAAGACCCATGGGTTCAAGGGCCCTTGGAGTTGAAGAATAGTCCTGGAGAGCTGCCTTCAGGTAAATATATACCATGGGAAGAGTACAAATGCGCCTTTGATAGCAAGCTTTACAGAGACTTGACATTTCAAATTCTGCTTATCTATATTTTGTGAATCAGTGATCATTGGATTTTCTCTCCATTCCTGTACTTTTGCTTTGCCATACAGTTGGCTGATTGTTATGTTTATTCCCACAGGGTTAAAGGTCAAAACTGACAATGAAAACCATCAGCCTGTGTGTCTTTCTGACTTAGAAATACAAGCACCGGAAGACATAGTATCAAAAAAGACCCGAGTGAAAGTTCCCCAGAAAACAACAGGCAAAGAAAATCATGGTGATATACACAGGATGGGGAAATGGCACCGAGATTTTCCCGTGAAGAAAAGAAAGAAACTTTCAACTTGGAAACAAGAGCTGCTAAAACTTATGGATCTTCACAAGAAAGCTCATGCTGGAGAGAAGCCATTTAAATGCCAGGAATGTGGGAAAAGCTTCAAAGTTAGCTCTGACCTTATTAAGCACCAAAGAATTCACACTGAAGAGAAACCATATAAATGTCAACAGTGTGATAAGAGGTTTAGATGGAGTTCAGATCTTAATAAGCACTTAACAACACACCAAGGAATAAAACCATATAAATGTTCCTGGTGTGGGAAAAGCTTCAGTCAAAATACAAATCTACATACGCACCAAAGAACTCACACTGGAGAGAAGCCCTTTACATGTCAGGAATGTGGGAAAAAATTCAGTCAGAACTCCCACCTTATTAAACATCGGAGAACCCACACAGGTGAGCAGCCATATACTTGTAGCGTATGCAGGAGAAACTTCAGCAGGAGGTCAAGTCTTCTTAGACACCAGAAACTCCACCGCTGAATGGAAGTTTATTCCAGTGTCCTCATTCTGAAGAAATTCACAAAGTAGAGGTCGACCCTGAGATTTATGAAAAAATACAAAATTATGAAGCATAAATAAGTTTTCATCAGAGGAAAATTTGGTGATATAAACATATTTCACAGGAAGGAATCAAGGTTGACTCTGCAGGGATCTCTGTAAGTAGTTTTGTACTACTTACATTTTTACACGTAACCTTTGGGGAATTCCTTAGCAAGAAAAGTGCTGAAAGAACATTCTCAGTAAGGGAAACATTTTTGCAGTTGTACCTGGCAAAATAGCAAATTCAGCTTTAAATGGCAGATGCATACATGAATCAGTCTTCTCTAATCACAGAGGGTAAATACTGTTGGCTTTGCATTGAATTCCCAGCCACTTTTAAACACATTGATAGAAACATTTGTAGCCTGGTCTTCCAAAAGAAAAAGCAATAACCTGCATGTTTAATTGGATACCATTGCCTTTAAGGTAGTAGGCTTACCAATTTCAAGAGCCCTGTGACACAAAAATGAAGTCTGTTGTCAAATTTTCAAAGAACCAAATTGGATTTTCTTCCTCTCCCTTGTCATTGGACACTGTTCCCACTGTTGGACATCATTTGAGTTCATTCTTGAACATTTTAGCAACTTTAGCTCTTGAATCCTTTTAGCACCATTTTTACTGTGATGAAATGCTATTCACCACTAGGGAATCTGCCAGATAAACTAATAATGCACTATCTTATACCTCATTGGTGGTGTTTGAAAAAGATAAACATCTCTAATGAGATCATCTGAAAACGGGTTGGAATGTTTAGCTATGGATTATGTATTACATGTAATTAATTTTCTGCAATAAAAGAAACTAGTCCCTTATAATCTCAGTATGATAAAAGATAAAAGATAGCACTTTCTTGAGGCCTAAAAGAAAATTAATGGAAGTTCAGGTGAACTTCTCACTTTTTATATGCTTTTTTGTTTGGCTTTGTTTATTTTTAAGAAAAAGGGCAGAGTTTAGGAACTGGAGTGTGTGCTGCAGGCAGGATGTGGTTCACTGAGTGTGGCAGAAGACTGGATTCCCAAGAGGAAAGGTTTGGGAACTGATGTTGACTGGTGGACAAGGATGGGTGAATCTGCATTCATGTTGGTTGTCTTACACTGTTAACTATTACTAAGCAGGCGGGGTCTACCTGTCTCTGTTTTGTACGCAGCATTTAACAACAGCCTTAGCTGATAAGTGATATAGATGGCTGAACATCTCTCTGGGCTGTGGATCTTCTTAGAACTCCTACCTACAGCAGTGACATATGTTCCTGTTAGAGCTTTTAGGTTGTATCAAGAAGGGGGGTGAAGGGGGTTAAATGATTTCTCCCAAATACCTTATAAATGATCAAGTTAAGGCTCAGATACGGGACTTGATTCAAGACCCTATTGCTAGTGGGTCCATTCGCTGCCAGCTAGCTGCATCAGGGAGGCCTGAAGGCAGGGCTAGGAGGATATGTATGTTATCCCTGCGGGACCAGGTTGGATGACATTGTGTTGTATTTACTTCTAACTTATAAAACATTCTTGTGGCTTGATTGGTTCCCAAAACACTTAGGTTGCCATGTGTTCTGTGAAAGAGAGAAAACTGTTTCAACTCAGGGTTATTCTAGGGACTAGGGGGATTGATGAATGAAAAGCACCTCACAGCCTGGCCAGTGGTAGATGCTCAGTCAATGTGCATTTGCTTCCCTTTCCCCTATTCCCCAGTGATATGCTGGGCAGACTGACTGCAGTAAGGAAGCAGTTGTGTTTATGGCTATTTTCAGCTCCTTTCAGGAGTTGTGCACTGCTGGTGGTGATGTTGCTCAGTTGATTTGATCCTTGGCCTCAGTACTTTATGGTGTAAGTCACCTGAGCTGTGGATATGGTGCTCTCAGCAGGATTTTGTTTTCTTCCCCAAGATGAACAATACCAAGTATTATTTCTTAGGCACAGCCAACTTTAAAGCTTTCGTCTGCATAGCTTTTATCCATCACCCTCATCCTTAGGCTTCGGGTACTGTCTCATCCCCGGATACATGTGGACATCTTCCTGGTGCTACATTCATTCAGTTTCATGGGGGCCTCTTACGTGCCCAGGCACTGTTTGGTCTAGACTGAGAATATAGTAGTGAACAAAAGAGCTAAAGATAGACCCTCACAGGACTTATACTCTAGTGAAGAGTATAAAGAAGACTGGTTATAGTTTTCTGCTCCTTGCAGTTTAGGGTCATGAGATAGTTGAAGGTAACGGGTTGTGAGCAGAAGCCCCACTTCTGCGCTGAAGACTGTTTGTGCAAAACTCTGGGGTGTCCTTCCTACCTCAGTCATGGAAGTCCAGCAGAAACTGGGGCCACAAGGTCAAAGTAGTCTGGAATGCTGAGCGCCGCCCCCCACATGGAGAGCAGTTGTCCTGGAAATTTGCCCAGACCTGTGATGGACTTTTGGGAATGAGAAATAAACTTCTGTTAAACTATTGAGATATTGGTGTCATGTGTTTCTGCAGCATAACCTGGCCTGTCTACATAGACACAGCTATTCTACTAGAGCTCTGGAACCCTTTCTGTGTCAGTCCACGTGGACTTTGGCCCTCAGAAGAGATCTGCCGTCCTGAAGATGCTCCACTGAGCTCATGTAACACTGATAGGCACACTGAGGAGCTTACAATACTAGGTGATAGGAAAGAAGGACAGATTTTTTTTACCTGAGACAAGTCTGGGTTGGTTAGTTTTTCAAGTGGACAAAGCAACCATCCCTCCATCTCTGGCTTCATTCCCCTTCCCTTGCTCTCCTTTCCTCTGTGCTCCACTGCTTTTATACCTAAAGATGTGTTTCTGTTGATCAGTGGGCTACAGAGAGGGTAGGGGTTACCTTTTTTCCTCCTGTGAGTGCAGTAGACTTTAAGCATTCATTTGGTAACTACCTCTCTCATACCTTCTGCAAGTTGGCCTCAGAAACAGGACATAGGGCAGAAGCAGATTTGTTCTGATCAGTGTAGAGAGGAAGGGGACTGCCCTCTTGGACTAAGAGGTGGTAGTTGGGAGGAAGGTCATGCAGGAAAGCAGGAGCAGGACATTGCAGTTGAGGAGTGAGAAGCCTCTGTTGGGAATGTCTGCATAGCCAAGAACCAGCAGTACAATGTTCCACAACTCATGCTTGGAAATTTTGGGGTGGACATGTGGACATTGGAAGAAGCAGTTTCTGTACCCTGTCAAAGGGGTCAGAGCAGACTACCAAAAATGCAACATAAAATCAAAATCTATTTAGGCTTGGTTTCTTTTTTGTTAAAGATATTATTTCAGAGAGAGAGAGTGCGAGAGTGCAAGCATGAGCGGCGGAAGGAGCTGAGGGAGAAGCAGACTCCCCGCTGAGCAGGGAGCAGGGAGCCCGATGTGGGGCCGGATCCCAGGACCCTGGGATCATGACCTGAGCCGAAGGTAGACGCTTAACCTACTGAGCCACTCAGGCGCCCCTATTTAGGCTTTGGTTTAGAGATGAAGTGCAACACACAACCTTAGGTTTAGCCTGAAACGTTCGTATTAAAGTTCTCAGAAATGTCTTTTATAACCAAATGATTCTAGGACAAACCAGAAGGTGCTTCATTTCAGGTGATTCAGATAACAGCCTTACAGTGGCTCCAAGCTTGGTTCCAAGAACTGGAACAGTGAGCAGCGTAACCCTGAAATCCTCTCAGCAGTGTGCTAAGTGGCCACAGTGTAGGGACTGTGCCAGACCCAGAGTTCTCCCCACCCTTAAGCAGACTGCGTCTGGAACCTCAAGCTGATCTTGAGACCCTCCACTGTCTTAGCTGGAGGGGAAGCAGAGGAGGAGAGCTTGGAATCAAACTAAAAGTGCTAGGGTTGATCAACTTTTGGAACCGTGAGAAGAGTGTCTAATTCGCCTGGAGAGCTTGAGAGCAGGAATGCTAAGCAGCCTTTTCGATCCAGCTGGACAGTTGGGATAACACAGAAGGTCTGAATTCCTTAAAGGATTTTCTAAACATTCATTTGAGTCACTCCACAGACAGGAGTTTACTGACCACCCTCTGCATTTCCTGGCCGGTCGCACTCAATGTAATGGGTCAAGGCTGCCCGTTACTTTCCTCTCTGGGTTTTACCTTCTGTTGCTTAGAGTGGATTCTTTGCTGAAGGGCTCACATTGCTTCTGTGGGTTCTCACCTGAACGGAGTCTCTGGAGTGCTCTCAAGTAGGAAGGTTGAGCCTTTGTTCACACTTTGTGTTTCCAGGGTTGTTTGCAAAACGTATTTGGACAAAAGTGTATTGTTGTTACTAAATCTTGTCCACGCTTGTCACCTTTGTCATTTCTTTCTTGTGTGGGTTTAGTGGGGAGCAAGGCTGGAGTACTCTTGAAGCGTCTGCCGTGTGGCTTATGTGCAGCTTTCCCTTCATGTGTGAATTCCCCAGTGGGCAGTGGTACCGGGCTATTGTGAAATGTTTTCTGCAGTGCAACGTTTTTGAGGCTTTTCTCCTGTGACCCACCCGACCCACCACATCTGAGAACGCCTGCACTTCACTTTAAAGCAGTCACCCTATCTCTCATGAGAGGGATCAAGCATGCTGAGTTTCAGATTTAGC